GACAACCAGACAGACCACATTATGTGATTCGTCAAAATTGCCTAAATGTGGCCTTCAACGCGGCAAAGGACCTGAAGAGTGCTTTATTTAGTTTACCTTAACAGGTGTGCGCTCATGCTCTTTCACTTCTCCTTTCCCACGATGTATCTTTTCGAGTTCAATTTTCGTCATTGAGGGATGCTTAGCTGGGTTATTCCTGAAGGGATTTCTTCATCTGAGAATACAGATGACTGCACAAGACAAACCTATAATAGTAGAACCAAGCGGTAAATAGTACAGCGCTCAGTAAAGCGTGAACGTAATAGACGGAAGGCCAGCCGAAGGATGATTCGCACAACTTTAAATAAAAATTTCCAAAAATAGTAAAAAAAAAGTAACATCTCGGAGTTCTTACCTCACCAGCCACTGGCATAGTAAACATTACGGAAATTTGTGAGAAAGAAGATAGTAAAGAGATAAAGAAGCCGTGCTGTTTCAATGAGGCCCAGTTGACTACGATTAAGCCAATGGCCGCGAAGTCAGCTCCAAATGAAACTCCCTGAAATGCAGAATCACATGGATACAACAGGAGTTGTAAATGAATCTATTATTATCATTACTTCCGAGTTCCTTGTAGCTTTTATACTACATTATTATATATCTATGACTATTTTTTACATCGCTATATGCTCTGGAGCAACATGGTAAATTTTACGCTCTGCTACGTCAACTTTAGACTAATTTTTTTAAAAGTACTTCGAAATTTTTAAATCAAGCTGACAGACAAAGCTTGGCCTTTAAAAGCGAGTCTGCCTAGAAGATTGCAGATTTATAATATAAAATAAGCTTGTCATGATGTTTAGCATGTTTCCTGGTAAGTATGGATTTGCGATCAGCATGTTAACCCCATCAATTATAATTTTCTAACTCTCAAAGTCTAAAATATATTAATCAACAAGGCTTCGTAAGATCCATTTTAAAAAATTGACAAAATCAACCATTACTCTTCGGGTAAAGTGCTTAGTAAAGTTTGTGAATTATTAAAACTGTTAGGTTTCCGCAAGGTCCTGCAAGTTTCATAAGGGTTATTGAATCTTACACCTTATGAGCACTGCACAAATGTCACCTACTCCATCGATCGTCCTTAGTTATCTTGAAAGAAGAGCCATAGTGAAGTATTTCTGTGCTACCGGCGTATGCTTAAGGAGTGGTTTACTTAGGGGTACTGGGGACTCACAACAGTAACTGTTTCAGCTCATTGCTGCAGAGCTTGCTTGAATACAAGCAGAAAAGGTCTCA